AGGAGTAATTGCAAGTATTTTCAGGCTTTGCCTCATTGCAAGTATTTTAGAGATTCAGGCTTTATTTCATTAGAAAGGTAGTAGAGTAGTCTGGCCATTTGGTTTCTCCGTCATTAGGTGTTACTGCTGATATCAGTCTTATGGATTGGTCTTTGATTGCAAATCATCAAGTGACAATGTACCCTGATGTCATTTCACAGCTGTTTAGACATCTCAAAGTTGGTAACTGTTTTGAAATGCTAAAAAATATCCTAAAATAGGATTTAATGAAACTTATTAAGTCAAAACTGTAGGTGGTATGCTGCAAACATTCATGTTAAGACAATGTTTATATTTGTTAGAGGACAATTTTCTTGTCCGAGCCAGAGGAAGGAATATAAATACAAAAGAAACTGTAATCGCCTTGTTTCATTTTTAAACTGTATCTAGCAATGTTTTTTACAAACTTTACCTGTACGAGGGATGGAAAAAGAGTGGAAAATAGATGAATTTGCCATCTTCAGCATCATTATCCATGGAAGCTTCCAGTTTTTCTTGGAAGGCAAAGGGAGCTAATTTTGGCAAAGTCTGTGTAACAATGACGATTTAAGAGTTTTGCTTGCTTGATGTTTCGGCTAAAAACAGAACTGTCAATTTGGAGGAAAAAATATATTACATTTTGAAGAAAATTGGAATGGATAAGTGGGACCATGCTGCAAATATATTGGGATTGGGGGTTTCTGAGCATCAAACTTTATTCTACTTTGGCTAGTCCTTATGAATGTTAACGTGTCTTCAAATAGCAAGGATTTCTTACGCGGCACATTTTGGAGTAATCTCGTCTGTGGCAGATAAAAATCCCACTCTGTCATTTTCTCACGAAAGCATTGCCTGTATATATACACCACTGCAATACCTGTTAGTACCTGGAGCTACCATTTAGTGTGTTTACCTGGACTAGAGGTCAGATACGGTGGGAGGGAGTGTATAGGAGAGGGCTGGTCCTGATCAGAGAAAATTGTGGCGCCAGATTATCTGGGAATCTGGAACCTCATCATGGAGATCTCCTCACTCAGATTCCTTTCCCTCACATTCCATAAAAAACAAACATTCTGCATGGTTTTACACCTCAGTATAGAACCATGGCACATCAGGCAGTGAAGGTCTTTAGAAGCAATGATGCTTGATTTGTCAACACATGCTTGTGCTGATGGGTTTGTTTGGCATGTGGTCTATGTGTAGTGGACAGTAGATCTGGCTGATGAAGTTAATTCCTTTCATCCTGTTGATATATCTGATGATGATGCTGGTAAATCATACTGTTGTCCTTGATGATATAACAATGATGTATGTTGATGTTAGTTACAGGTATTTGGTCTATGTATAGTGGACAGTAGATCTGGCTGATGAAGTTAATTCCTTTCATCCTGTTGATATGTCCGATGATGCTGCTGGTCAATCATACTGTTGTCCTTGATGATATAACAATGATGTATGTTGATGTTAGTTACAGGTATTTGGTCTATGTACAGTGGACAGTAGATCTGGCTGATGAAGTTAATTCCTTTCATCCTTTCATCCTGTTGATATGTCCGATGATACTGCTGGTCAATCATACTGTTGTCCTTGATGATATAACAATGATGTATGTTGATGTTAGTTACAGGTATTTGGTCTATGTACAGTGGACAGTAGATCTGGCTGATGAAGTTAATTCTCTTCATCTTGTTGATATATCTGCTGCTACTGCTGATAGTAAATCATAGTTTTGTCCTTGGCATAACAAATGGTAGTTTTGTATGTTGATATTGTTTACTGTTATCCAGGTCTTAGCAAGTCCACATTCCACAGACTTGACTTAGAGCTGCAAATCTGAAATTGGTCCCTGATGAGTGTTGCCTAAGGAATTGATCACTAGTTTAATTCAGATTTCACTGATTATATAATTAATTGTCACAACATCACTATCAAATACTGGCTTCTCTAGGCTTGCCTAATTATAGGGATATAACAGATTCATTCAGTACAGACTTGGAGCATGGCTACCCTCAGAATCAGGGAGAAATAGTTTATGGTAGCTTTGTGCTTGGAACATGTTACTGATGATAGCCCAATAAAGTTTGAATGAATTGAAATAATCAGAAATATCCTGGTAGATCCAGACATGAAGCCAATTGTTGTGATTGAAGATATTCCATGAGATCCTTGTGAATATACAATGCCGTCCGGTAATTCAGCGCACCTAAGCACATCGATCGCAACACGGCATCTAACGTCTCTTATTTTTAGTGGTTTACGTGACTAAACATGCTGGTATGCATCATATTTACCTAGAAATATAAGTTTTATTGACGACTATAAGATTCTAACGTTGCATTATGCCATACGGTTGACCTTACCAGCGTTCTGACGACATCGCTTGCTGTCCGGTAAATCTGCGCAGCAACTGATGCGCATAACATCCAGCTGGAGATCCGAAGTATGGAAGCGTATTAGGGCCAGATTATTTTCAAAAATCAAATGAGTGTTTCATATTAAATCCAGTTATGAATAATAAAGAAAAAGGTTTAAAAGTCTGAAGAACCAGACTTGTACCAGACTGTGTGTGATAGTAGCCCAGTAGATCTGGTGTTAACCTGGTAGATATAGCTAGTGGTAGCCTTGTACCAGACTGTGTGTGATAGTAGCCAGTAGATCTGGTGTTAACCTGGTAGATATAGCTAGTGGTAGCCTTGTACCAGACTGACATGTGTGATAGTAGCCAGTAGATCTGGTGTTAACCTGGTAGATATAGCTATTGGTAGCCTTGTACCAGACTGACATGTGTGATGCTAGACTAGTGGATCTTGATGCAGTGTTTGCCCTTAACCCTCAAAACCTGCAGGCCCTAAGGACCCAGACCATAAAAAGTTGTGGGTCCTGATCAGAATGTGTAGTCCCTATATTTTAATATGGAAATAATTCTCTTAGTTATTGGTGATAATAAAGCTGTCGGCCATAAGGACAGAATACAAAAGCTGTAGATCGGAGTGGTTTTCAGTTGGCTTCGGGCCTAAGGACCGACATTAATTTCAATCACTATCTGGATGTGTGTGATGGTAGCCAAGGAGGTCTGGTGTTAAGCTAGTGGAAATAACTACTGGTGTCCTTGTATGATGGTGATGTGACTAATACCGTTAGTTGCGTTAAATGGTGATTGTAGTAAGGGAGATTCATGCTGAAGGACTGTGAATACCGAAAAGTACGCTGGGAACGAGTACGGCATTGTCCCGTCTTAGTGCCCTAGAAACACCTAATTGTTTGGCTGCCTGCCATTCTCAGCTTCAGCAAACACGTTATCTCTACAATAACATAACATCAATCAGAAGTTATTCAATTAGGTCTCCTGTATGACATACTGAATCAAATAAAGAAACCCTACCTTCACCTGATATTCTTCCTTGTTGTGAGATATTTCTGGACAGAATGTCTGCCAGGTCTAGGTGTGAGTCAGTTGTGCGCTATGTGACGTGTTTGTTTTAGATCTGTTTTACCTTACGTAGTCTCATAATTCCTCTTTTTTGTAACATTCTTGTGATGATGATGATGATGATGATGATGATGATGATGATGATGATGATGATGATGATCAAACAACATACACCTGAATAAGTAAAATTGCTTGTTGGAAATTGATTAGTGCCTTGAGCACGCAAGAGAGGAGAGGTGTTTGTTTCCATGTTTTAGAAGTGGTGTGTTTGTGTGGAGGGTTCGATGAGACACAACACGGATCCTTTGACGCCTGTAGCCGTAACAGGTGGGGCAGGTCTCCTGCCTTTACAGTTGTAGAAACACATCCCCGGAAAGCCAAATATTATTTCCAGGAAAGGTTGATTTCCTGCATGTTCTTGAAATAGCTGAATCTAATCATGTGTATATCATGTTGGTTGAGGTGATATTGATACACAAACAGGAACCAGATATTGTCATAATAGTTCACCAGTTATTTTCAATTCTACCAAAATATTTCATCAAGCTCCGTCTACCTCCTTTTCAAAGACCTTTCTGCCCTTGTGCATGTGTTCGGGCTCCCAGGTCTTTGTGCTCCATCCTCCTGGTGGAGCACCATCATCTTGGGTACAGTGCAGCACGTTTGAGTAGTTATGAGTGTAACGCCATCACTGAAGTTATATAAACAATATTGAATGACATTTCTAATACAATTCATTGATTAAAAATACAGAGATGTTCTGAATAAATAGATGGCTGATACAAGAATGTCATGCTTGTATAACTTGAGTATGTTAAACACACCAAAAACTTGGTATATCGTCTCTGTGCATGGCTTTGTGTGTGCAGGTGTGTCTGTGAAGGTGTGTGCAGGTGTGTGTGCGTGAAGGACTGTATCTGACTGGAGTATATCTGACATATACATCTGAGTGGAGTATATCCTACATATGTACAACTAGCTATGGTACATCCTATATATTTATACAACACACTAGTGGTGGTGTGTGGTTGTGTGCGTAGAGGTTAGGTGATAAATCAGTTGAAATTAAGCAAAGTTGAGCTTGGAGAGTTCTTGGATGGGTGATTGTGTTTGGCAGCTTGACTCCTGAGAGTTTCTAGGACGTCAGTCTTGCCTCACAACAAAGCACATGTGATACATGAGGTCTCACCTTAGGCAAGTGAGTTTATTCAAAATTGCCTCTGTTCACCCAGCAGAAAATGGGTACCCGGTAGGATAAGTCATGTGACTATTACCCCTCTAGTGCCTCCAGGCAGCTTGGGTTATCCGGGGTAATAATAATAGTGCTTTGAGCAAGATATTCTGATTCATCCTGGAATGGCGCTATAAAAGTGGATTATTATTATCATTATATTGAGTATATCCTAATGATAGACAATTTCTGGGGTATATCCAACCATTATACAACTGACTCTAGTATATCCTATATACAATGGATATGAGTATATCGTACATATATACATCTGACTGGAGTATATCCTCTGTGACTATCTAGTGTGTTGTGTGGTTCCAGGAGGTGCTGCATGTGGCCCAGACGGAGATGCAGTTGGCCGCATCATCTGCGTTCTTGCAGATCCTGCAGCGGGAGCTGGTCCCCATCCACAACTACGCTTCTACATTCCTCCAGACCATTCTGGGCAGCGTGGACAGCAAGGATCCAGGTACACAATCTTCGCCATGACCCCAGATCCCAACTTCCTGTACTTAAAAAATATATATATGATTTTTTTTCTTGCTAACAAGAAATATCATCTGATGCCTTATGATGTCTTTCAGTGGCATTTAGAAGCTGTACATTGATGTCCAAGATATTTTTATGGATTAAATTTCTTTGTAATTTCTCTCACGATGTTTCGAGACCATTCCAGGTCCCTTCATCAGGTCGTGTCTGGTCTCGAAACGTCGTGAGAGAAATTACAAAGAAGTTTAATCCATAAAAATATCTTGGACATCTGATGCCTTGTTCACAATTTCATTTGATTGACCCATGAAGATGCAGGTTAGCATTTTTCTTGCCACCAATGCTTGTCGTAAGAGGCAACCGACAGGATTGGGTGGTGAGGTTGACACATGTCATCGTATCCCAATTGCATAGATCGATGCTCATGATATCAATCACTGGATTGTCTGGTCCAGACTTATTATCAGACTGCCATCATATAGCTGTAATATTGCTGAGTGGGGCGTTAAACAACAAACAAACAAAACATTTGATTGATTGTGTGCCCTTCTCTTTATTTTTAAAACGAGAAAGATAACATGTGTATTGTACTGATGTTGTGAAATGTTTGTTGTGATGTCACAGATGTTGCTGCAGCCTGGCTGGATACTCTGCTGGATGTCATCGACCTGCTGCCCAAGGATGTCATTAAGTCAGATGTGAGTACCTGTATTTCATCCCTGTCCAGCTTCCTCCTCTGACCCGTGACGGTCCGGGTTAGAATTGATCTTCTGCAACCCATGCTTAGAATTGATCTTCATCGCAACCCACACTTGGTCGAAGATGCATAATGATCCCAATTGCACAGATTGATCTCATGGTGTTGATCAGGCTCCAGACTGACTATAGGGACTTGGTTGACACATGTCATCGGTTCCCAATTGCACAGATTGATGCTCATGCTGTTGATCACTGGATTGTCTGGTCCAGACTCGATTATTTACAGACCGCCGCCATATAGCTGGAATATTGCTGGGTGCTGCGTAAAACTAAACTCACTCACTCAGTCTTCCTCCTCTGTGTCTCACTGAAGCATATTCCTGTTGTTTAGAGAGACAGTACCTCACATGTAAGGTTTAACACATACAGCTTCCAGATAAATTATGTTGCCTTTGTAGAGAGTGATTTTTCACATCACAGTGGCAGTGGGGATGGAATTTCCCAAATTGTGTAGAACATGTTCTATTGCGATGTGTATTGCAGTATATTGTTACTTCTACTTCCAATGATTTTACAGCTGAAAGGAGATGTTGACACAAGCGTGTTGTTAAGTTCGTCATTCCACCTGAACAGATTGCAATGTTTCTGTCACTTATCCCTTCTTCACACTCTCTTACAGCCCAAATATTTCAAAATAGATGCTTTAATTCTCTAGTTTGCCACATCCTCAAATTCAGAGTCAGCATTTAAAAGTTTTAAATTAATTTTAACGTATCTCAATGCTATATATAACCATTAACAGAGACCATTAACACCAGTTCACAGCAATTGTTTCCACATGTACTCACAGAAATTTTGTATTGCAATTTACAAAATTATTTTGTCTACTTAAAGTGATGTGTTGTATTTTTACCACCAGAAAACAAGCTTAATGAAAAGTGTAACCATGGTAACCATTACAAAGGCTGACTCTTTTCTTCTGAAGTTTTTTTCTGGTTCTCAAAATTTAGCTTATCTACAGTAATAAACAGGACTGGTAAACCACTGTAATACAGCGCACCCTTACATCACTGTGACAAAATATCAGCCATTTAACAAAGTCAACAGCATCATCATCATTATCATCAAGCAATATTATTATGATAAAGCAGGAAGTTATAAAACAACATAGCACTAGCATCTCCCCTTGTCGTCTCTGTTCAGTAGTCTGTCTCACAGTCCCTGAACCAGATTATTTTCCCTACAGCGTAGCCCTCTCTGCAGTGCTAAAACCCTAAATGAGACCGCCGCCGTGGTGTAGTGGTTAGAGCGTCCGCCCGGAGAGCGGAAGGTCGCGGGTTCGATCCCCAACCGCGTCATACCAAAAGACGTTACAATATGGTACATGTTGGTCCCTGCCTGGCGTTCGGCATTAATGGGTACAACAAGGACTGGTCGGCTTGGAGTCAGTATAATGTGTCTGAGTGGGGTATTCATGCTTCACTGTGGCATGGTATCTCAGTGGGCTAGCACTATAAAACCAGCTTTAGTCTGGGCTAGTACAAGCAGCCGCACAAACACATACACATGCATGCGCATCGTCATATGAGCGAAATATTCTCAAGCACGACGTTAAACCCAATTTCACCTCACCTCACCTAAAACCCAAAATGAAGCAAGTCTACATTTCTCCAGGTTCTGGGACTCCTTTTCAATTTAAATGGGTTTATTTGTTACAATCAAAGTCATATACACAGAGACTAAACATTAGTCTATCTGTTCAGGTGAACAAATTGTACTGTAACATCGTCTTGTTCCCCTTCCCTACACACACACCTTCAGCCTTACCCCATCAGCTAGGGCAGCACGGTGATCAGCAAGCCATGGTGGGATACAGGCCACATGGCTTCATATCGTCTTGAGTAAATGTCAGCTGATTTCATCAAACATCGGGAATCCTCAGGGCACCATTGTCTGATATTGTAGACACTTGTGATATTTTCAGACCTTTACATTGATATTGCTGTAACCGAAACACCACATGATGTTCAATTTCATTAACAATGGTCTATCAGCCATGTGTTGGCAGCAAGATAACGCTGGACTTTAGTTCAGAACAGTACTAGTTTACATTGAAAAGCTATGACACATCTGTAGAGGAAAGGTTGTGTAATTTATTTTCATGTTTCGTGTTTTATTTTGATAAATTTGTGAGAACGGAAACAATCAAGTATTTATTTTACGATGTGTGAGAACACGTTTTCAAGGATGTGATGTGCCTGGTGTTGACAGACTTGTTTGTTGCTTGTACTTTTTCAACAAATCAAAGGCAATAAACATGTCCAATATGGCTGCCACAGCTGGACAAGGTGATTCAGGATAATCGGAAATAATCAACACTTGGTCTATGGCTGTAAACAGCAGTGACACTGTTCTTGTTTGCGATTAATTACCGTTATCAATTTTATACAAATTTTAAAGAGATAGTCAGTCTTGGAAACATGTATCCAGACAAGTGACAAAAATTACAAGAAGTCTAAAAGAAGTCTAAAATACTGGTAGTCAATCAAATTGGCCTGCATGTATCCAGACAAGTGACAAAAATTACAAGAAGTCTAATGAATCAAACTGCAATGTGATATGTATCATGATACACTGGTCACGATACAGTGTGTATCGCAGTGTGCCTGATTAATAACATTAAGGCCATGAACTGAGTTTTGTTTGAATTGTAAAGTTTATTCAATGTCGTCACTAATTTTAAACAACACACAGCAGGTATAGCAAGGTATTGTTTAGGTATTTTGTGATGTTATGTGTTCAGATACAGGTATCCCTGTATCAGATATCATATCAAAGGCAGTGTATTGTAGTGGTGGTCAGATTAATTGAAATAATCGAAGATTGAGTTTGACTAAATGACCAAGCAATCATGTTTTCTCATAATCACAAACAATTGGAAAACTTTTTGCATTAACAATTTTTCACAAGGTTGGTTTTATCAGTTACATTTCATGAGCACTACAAGCTCGCTCCACACCAACATCTACCCTCTAAAAGTCATCCTTTACAAGATGTGAAAGTTCTTAAATTATCTTGATAAATATATGTTTTTTATTTATGTTTTGAGGCTTTCTTCATTTTAATATATCCAATTCATAAATTACCTTGCAGAATTATTTTCATGATTGATCTGGATAGCCAGGGATGCAAATAACTTATAAAATTGCTAGTGTAATTCCGCACAGTGGCACATGTAAAATCACTTGCCCTGAGTTTTTTTCCACTTTCATCTTGAATTTTCTTGTTGATTTTTAAATAAACAACATAATTAACATTGAATATCAACTGGACACCGGTACAGTGTGATATACAAATTTGCTTGCCTGACAGAAAAAAACACTGGACTTGGGCGTCAGGCAATGGGTTATTTTCACCCCTGATAGCACATGCTCTTCAGAGTTGACCATATTTCATCTGATATCCAGTGGACTGATATTTTCTTGTCAATAAGGACATTGATTAATGTTAGACTAATATCTAATCTTTGATACTGTATAATTTTGATAGAAATAACCAAAAGGATTAAATTTTGAAAGGAGCCCAAATACAATGAGATGGGAGATTCAAAAGCTGTGGAAAAATCTAGACTTGCTTCATCTATGGCTATAGATTACAGTATAGGCTGGGGAGAAGGGGATATGATAAGGTACAGGGACTGTGAGACTGTCTCAGGTTCTAATGTTTTTTAAATGACAGAAAGCAAGAAAATATTTGTTCTTGCGGTACATATGTTATGAAGTTTTGTGATTCTTGCTGATCAATGAATGTTTTCTGTTGTCAAATGGTAGACGGTATTATGGTTTCCATATTTGAATACTTTATGAAAAATTGATGTGCTGTTAATACAATTCAGTAACCAGCTGTTAGTTGCGATGATGCAGTTTTACTTGTAGAGCACTCATGCCTGTATGTTTACTTTTCATTTCCATTGCTATTAGGCACGATGTTTTGCCAGAATGCGCAAGTTTATGAATATATGGAATGTATGTATAGATAACATGATACTCGTCATATATATTGACAGGTTATGATCACCAGACTCTCCAGAGTACCGATGTATGTGTCAGTGTCTGACCTTCAGCTTTGTTGTTTTAAGGTTTTGACGATAGCAGTGGCCAAAGGTCAGCTGTCCCAGTCCGTCCAGGCTCGACTCTCCTGCTGCAAGATACTTGGCAAGATCGCAACCAAATTTGAGCCCTTCATGTACGTACAGTGTAACATATGTGGAGAATAATATGGGCAGCAAGTTGATTACATTATGAGAGGTGTTATTGTCATATATGATGGATGTGGTTGCTCAGACAAATTTGATGTACATAAAGCTCACATGGGTGTGTGAGACCTGCACTTTGAACTGAAGGATGACACTTAAATTGGTTACTTTTGTGTACTTTATATAAGATATTGTATTAAGAAGGGCTCTTAATATGTCTGTTTAACATGTTTGCTTTTATCCTCTTTATCCCTGTCCCTCTTCCTTTCCAATTGGGGGCGGTGGGGCTAGCCTAGTGGTTAAAGCGTTGGCTCGTCACGCCTAAGACCCGGGTTCGATTCCCCACATGGGCACAATGTGTTAAGCCCATTTCTGGTGTCCCCCGCCGTGATGTTGCTGGAATATTGCTAAAAGCGGCGTAAAACTAAACTCAGTCAGTCAGTCAGTCCTTTCCAATTGAATGTTCTTGACTTCTTCCAAGCTCAGTCTTCCTGTCCTCTGTCCAAATTGACCTCTTCCAGTCTTCCTTCGAAACTGAACCTCCCTTTCATCTGTCTCAGCTGACCTTATCTTACTCCTGTCCGATCTGAACATCCCTTTCCTCTGTGTAAGGTCAATCTCCCTGTCCTCTGTCCAAGCTTACCATCTCCTGTCCAAGCTGAACCTCTCAGCCATCATTACTCTCTACTTCCAGAATCAAGAAGGAGATCCTGCCAGTGGTCCAGTCTCTGTGCCAGGATGTGGACTACGGAGTGCGGGGATGTATGTGTCAGCAGCTGGACCCAGTGGCCAGGGGCCTCGGGTAGGTTTTGTCAGAAGTGGGCCTCGGGTAGGTTTTGTCAGAAGTGGGCTTGGGTAGGTTTTGTCAGAAGTGGGCTTGGGTAGGTTTTGTCAGAAGTGGGCTCGGGTAGGTTTTGTCAGAAGTGGGCTTGGGTAGGTTTTGTCAGAAGTGGGCTTGGGTAGGTTTTGTCAGGTTTTGTCAGAAGTGGGCTTTTTGTCAGAAGTGGGCTTGGGTAGGTTTTGTCAGAAGTGGGCTTGGGTAGGTTTTGTCAGGTAGGCTTTTTGTCAGAAGTGGGCTTGGGAGGTTTTGTCAGAAGTGGGTCTTTTGGTCAGGTGGGCTCGGGTAGGTTTGTCAGAGGGGCTTTTTTGTCAGAAGTGGGCTTGGGTAGGTTTTGTCAGGTGGGCTTGGGTTTTGTCAAAGAAGTGGGCTTGGGTAGGTTTTTTGTCAGAAGTGGGCTTGGGTAGGTTTTGTCAGAAGTGGGCTTGGGTAGTTTTGTCAGGTTTTGTCAGAAGTGGGCTTGGGTAGGTTTTTGTCAGAAGTGGGCTTGGGTAGGTTTTTGTCAGAAGTGGGCTTAGGTTTTGTCAGGTAGTGGGCTCGGGTTTTTGTCAGAAGTGGGCTTGGGTAGGTTTTGTCAGAAGTGGGCTCGGGTAGGTTTTGTCAGGTTTTGTCAGAAGTGGGCTTGGGTAGGTTTTTTCAGTCAGAAGTGGGCTTGGGTAGGTTTTGTCAGAAGTGGGCTCGGGGTAGGTTTTGTCAGAAGTGGGGGTAGGTTTGTCAGAAGTGGGCTCCGGGTAGGTTTTGGGTAGGTTTAGGTTTTGTCAGAAGTGGCCTTGGGTAGGTTTTGTCAGAAGTGGGCTTGGGTAGGTTTTGTCAGAAGTGGGCTTCGGTAGAGAGTGGGCTCGGTAGTTTGTCAGGTTTTTTGTCAGAAGTGGGCTTGGGTAGGTTTTGTCAGAAGTGGGCTTGGGTAGGTTTTGTCAGAAGTGGGCTCGGGTAGGTTTTGTCAGAAGTGGGCTTGGGTAGGTTTTGTCAGAAGTGGGCTCGGGTAGGTTTTGTCAGAAGTGGGCTTGGGTAGGCATTGTCACTGGGAGTGAGTGAGTTTAGGTTTACACCACACTCAGCAATATTCCAGCTATATGGCAGCGGTCTGTAAATAATCAAGTCTGGACCAGACAATCCAGTGATCAACAGCATGAGCATCTATCTGCACAATTGGGAACCGATGACATGTGTCAACCAAGTCAGCAATCCTGACCACCCGATCCCGTTAGTCTGTCACTGGGGTGTATCTATAGGTAGTGCAACTAGGGTGCTCTTTTTAGATTTTGTCAATAGTAGACTCAGGTAGGTAGTGCCTGAAATCCTGAAGTGTAGCCTGGGCCTATGGCCTCCACTACAAAGAAAATAAAGATTGATGTCGAAAAGGTAGTGCCACTAGGGGCCCTGGTAGGTTTTGTCAGGGATTTTGTAGGAGAGATTTGTCATGGATGTAGAAAGGGTTTTGTCGCTTCTATTTGATGTGTGGGCAGGTAGTGCTGCTATGGGGCTCTAGAAAGTTTTGTCAATAGTCGACTCTGGTAAGTACTGTCACTAGGATGTATGGGTTGGTTCTACTTATTGATGCCAACAGCTGAATTATTCCTGATGGAGTGTTAAGCATCATTTTTTCAACATCACCAGATAAATTAGGTGTCTAGATGCTATTGCACAGTGGTTATTGTATCATTAATATTGACTGCGACTATAAATATGTACCATCTTTACCTGCCCTCCAGTCTTCCGATTCACATTTTTCAGCCTTGAAGCAACCAAAAGTGCAATACTCCCAGAGCTGGTGGAGTTAACGAATGACGAGGAAAGTTATGTTCGTATCACAGGACTGGAGACGGTCGTCAGTATACTCAGCCTCTTAGACGATGGTACGTACACCAACAAGGGGAATGTCCTCCAAGCAGATCTAAAGCTTCTCTCCAAAAGATCTTAACTTTATGATGAATCATTCTTCACCATAAGCTTCAGGACCTATTACAGTTATTGCTGCAGATTGTGTCAATGTGTTCTGAATTTTATATTCCTTATGTTGAACAGATACCTGTATCACCACAATCATTCCACTGGTGACGAAGTTCTGCCAACAGGCAATGCTGGCTGAGGACTCAACACTTCCTGTGGTTGCTAGGCAACTAGGTCGTCTCTGCCATGGGTTGTCAGGTATGCTTGATAAACTGCAGGAGAGACATTATTTTGGTCGAGGAAGGGTGGTGGATCAGCTCTGATCCATACTGTGACTGACTGCCTTGCAGTGGTTGCTAATTGTTTTTCAACATAATCTCCTTTGAGTTCCACATATATCTACCAATGATGCTCGAGTGTCTGGTTTCTGATGGTGTAGAGGGCTTTCTCCAGTTAGTTGGAAAGAGATGATTGTTAAAGTTAACCAGGAATATCTTGTTGTAAAGGATGAGCAAAATAGAGATACTATTGCTGTTCTGAGAATGGCTGATGCTCAGTTGAGAAGCAGGGCCCTTATTCTCGAAACGTTCGTAGCCCTAAGAATTCTTAACTTTGATCATAGCCAATGTCTTAAAAATGGGCTTTAGAAGTTTCGACCCGTGAAGATCCGGGGTAGAATAGGTCTTCAGCAACCCATTCTTGTCATAAAAGGCGACTATGCTTGTTGTAAAAGGCGACTAACGGGATCGGGTGGTCAGGCTCGCTGACTTGGTTGACACATGTCATCGGTTCCCAATTGCGCAGGTCGATGCTCATGCTGTTGATCACTGTATTGTCTGGTCCAGACTCAATTATTTACAGACCGCCGCCATATAGCTGGAATATTGCTGAGTCGGCGTAAAAACTAAACTCACTCACTCACTCACTTAAGAAGTTTCGAGAATAGCTAGTCAGAAATCTAAGACTGATGTAGCTATACATGGTCCAGCCTCCACTTCCCTGTTCCCCTGTGGTGTGATGTGTTGCAAGTAGGGCTGTAACGATGCATCGAACTATCGATGGATTGCAGTTGTCGAGTCTCCGATAGCAATTAATCGATGGCAGAAACGAAAAACTATCGATGCATCGATGGTATTCGTGACTATCGATGGTTTAATAATTGACTTTCGTTAATAAATGTGCAGCACAAAATACAGGAAGTACCAGATTCGTTCACTAGTTTATGTTTTAACTGTTTACTTGATCTGGGTTTCAAGCTTCTTGTCAATTATCAAAAGAGACTCAAACTACTTCCACTTCTTTTTGTTTCACATAAAAAAACATACATTCATTTGGGAAAGGGGCGGTGGGGTAGCCTAATGGTTAAAGCGTTGGCTCGTCACGCCGAAGACCTGGGTTCGAATCCCCACATGAGCACAATGTGTGAAGCCCATTTCTTGTGTCCCCCGCCGTGATGTTGCTGGAATATTGCTAAAAGCGGCGTAAAACCAAACTCAGTCAGTCATTTGGGAAATGACTTCAAATGAGATAATTCAAGGAGAAAAAAGTTATTGTGATAGTATTGCAATAGTTGGTCACAGTAGACTATCACTATCGCAATAGTTGCTTCCCCCTCAATAGTCACCCATAGTTGTCAGACTATTGATATTGGGACACTGGCCCAATTAGTGAGGCTCCACTGTTCACTGTGCAGAGTTGCCTCCCTTCAGTGTGCCTGAATCCTATGTTTCTATGTTTACCAGCATCTAGCCCATGCTGTCTGTTTCAACAAAGTGGCCAGTATCTGATACTTGCATAAATTCTGGCTTTCCACCCACATTAATCTGACATGCTGTGATATGACAGAAATACGTACAACCGATGTTGAACCCAACTAACTCACTGCTTGATGTGGGCAATCTGTTGTAGTCAGACATTGATGTGTTGTGATTCCTTGTGTTGCAGTAAATCTGTCAGAAGATCAGAAGCATTGGTTTGTCGACTACTTCAGGAAGATGTGTCGGGTCGGGCTGTCAGAGAAAAACAAGGGCTCCAAGGACTCGGACAAGGAATCACCCTCAAAGGTTGGATCACATTTCGTAGACTAGATACAAGTAGCTGAACAAGGGAACAGTAATGCTTGTCATTCTGTTGATCCTACAGTAGTTTCAAATCATTTTTGTTTCCAGTCATAATTGGATTGTGTCTCAGGTTTCACTTTTCTCACTTTGCCAGTCAAGATACCTCTGTGAAAGTAAACTAGCGTTAGGTATTTGCTGACAATGGAATTTGAACTCACACTGATTTGTTCATCATGTAAATGTTCTGTTGCACTGGAAATATGCTATAAAAGGGACCCTGTTCTATGAAACTATCTGCAAGACTTGTTTGTGTTGCAGCAAATGGCCATCCCGGACCTGTTTGCAGAAGAGGACCAATTTTTGGAGTGCAGGAAGAACTGTGCCTACAACTTCCCTGTAAGTTCAGGACATCATTGTCTAGTGCCACCTTGGAGGTAGCTGCTACTAGTCTAGTTTGATGAATCTATACCTTGTCTTTAAACACTTTATCATGGAAGGTTATGTTACTTCAATGACAGGTAGCATCTTCATCTGATAGCCTTTGTGTCAGTGTTGGTTTAGTGTGAGCTGGCACGCCGTTTCATCCTGTCTAGATGGTGTAGCCATATTGCTGAAAATACAGGTTGACTTCCTCCACGAGTTGGACCGCCTCCGTGGTGTAGTGGTTAGAGCGTCCGCCTGGAGAGCGGAAGGTCGCGGGTTCGATCCCCGACCGCGTCATACCAAAAGACGTTAAAATATGGTACTTGTTGGTCCCTGCCTGGCGCTTGGCATTAATGGGTACAACAAGGACTGGTCGGCTCGGAGTCAGTATAATGTGTCTGAGTGGGGTATTCATGCTTCACTGCGGCATGGTATCTCAGTGGGCTAGCACTATAAAACCAGCTTCAGTCTGGGCTAGTACAAGCAGCAGCACATACACATACACTCGCATGCACGTCGTCATATGAGCGAAATATTCTCCAGCGTCGTTAAACCCAATTTCACCTCACCTCACCTCCATGAGATAGGTTTAACGCTGCTTTGAAATGTATTCTAAGTATGTCACCAGATGTTAGTTTGATTTGAGGAAAGACCAAAGTAATCCAGGTCTGAAATATTTTACTATTTGGTGAAAACAATGAGCTTAGGTATTGTCCTGACAAACATAATCGTGTCTAACTGGAATTTGTACATGGTCCAAAGTTTCTGATTTGCCCAAGGGAAGCAACTCTGCGTAGCCAATTTAAGCCCCTCACACAAATGGGCCACCCATCCACCTGCTCTCACATGATGTGCTGGCAATGATATTGCAGGAATATTGATAAAACACTTTTCAGTCACTCCCATTCTGTGGACCTTCAGTCCTGGTGATCATAACTCACTTTAATGCAGGCTTATGATCGTCATAGCATGAGGATCATGTGGTGCAACCTGACGTTCTTACTGCAATGGACAGTACTGAGCCATGTTTGTCCTAAATAGATTTAAATGTTGTCATTCAGTGAATGCATTAAAACATGTTGTATTTACTTCAGGCGATGGTTTTATTTGTTGGACCACGTTCTTTCAAGTCAGAGCTGTTATCCACCTTCAGTGGTTTGTGCAAGGATCCGCACATCCTCGTGAGGCGGACCACGGCCAGTGGATTCCATGAGGTACGACTCACAGAGATTACTACAAGACTGCCAGATACCATTTACCTTAGGAGTACTTTTAAAACATACGGATACAATATGTATCCATTTCTGAAATGAAAAGCATGAGTGCAACTATCTGTTTCTTGCTAATTTTCAACATCAAATCGATGGTCACTATGTCTATTCTTATGATCATAGTGCCTATTTAAAGCCTTCTGTGACCCTCAACAAAAAAGTTTCCACCGTATTGTTCAGTTATCAAGGTGATGATGATAATTCAAACTAAATATGATCAAATAACTCATGTTAACACTCTAAAAACTAGGGGTGGGTATTGCAAAGAAATTTCATATTGCGATGCGAAAGCATGTATTGCGATATGTATTGCAACATATTGCAGGACGTAAAAGCTTGATTTATAAAGCAAAAACACAACAAAATCACTATGCCTGATTAAACTTTAATAAAAACTACTTTACCTACCTTTGCATATTTTACGTACCGCGTTACTCTTACCAATAGTTCCATCTACCGTGAACCTTTTCAACCCAAAATGCTGCCTTACCGCTGCCTTTGCCCTAGTATTTGGCACTACAATAAATTGTTCGTTGTTGGGGGTCACCATTTTACAACACATGCATGGCTTCCGGTGTAAAAAAACGAAAATATCCGAAGATTTTCGAGTGTTACGAAGTTTTCCTAATGCATGTCAAAATACCGGTTTTCGATCAACGTATCGCAATACGTATCGTTTTCATGTCTGAACCGGTGTATACCGGTAAACCGGTTATATTGCGCAGCCCTACTAAAAAACATATAGTATTGACAGAGACATGTGAATTTGACAGAAGCGTGGGTAACTAACTTGTCCATGAATCAATCCTGCCCTTATCTGACCAACCTGGAATATCATCTCACACGTATATTTGATACCAATTATCTCAAACTGGATCCTTTCCCACGTGTGTAAGAAACTCATTTACTATTTTTGGCTTGTATTACATAATTATGACTGTCCATGAAATTCATCACACGTATGTCAGTCAACTAAAATGACATGACCATGCACTTAAATTTATTTGGTGTCAAATTACAATTGTTTTGTTTGGGTTTCAGGTGTCCAAGCAGCTCGGCAGTTCTGTCCATCTAATTCAGGGGGACCTCATGACCCTGCTCAAAGATGATTCCATTGAGGTCAGATGATATGATTTTGTTGCCTTGTATGAGCTCAGTGATCTCAGTGACCTCAGTGACCTCAGTGATCTCAATGTAGATGTGGCTCATTCCATTAAGAAAAGTCTTCAAAGATTTTGATAAAATTTGAACAAAATCAACTTAGATTGTAGAATATGTAATAACACTGTAGAAGTAGCTCACTGTTTCCATGACATTTGTCTGTCTCCAGGTCCTACAGGCGATCATCGCCCGTCTCCCCGAGACTCTAGAAGTGCTGGCTAAAGGTGGAGGCGGAACTATCACCGGAGCCAAGGTACACATCTTGTACACAAAATCCACCTTGTACATACACATTATAGAGAAACATGGTGTTGAAGAATCCTCTTTTGAAAGATTTTGTAATCTTTGATTACTTATAATTTACAAGATCTTTGTTCATTCGGATTGTACTGTTTTGCATTGTGATCAGGATTCTATCTTCTTTTGATCCTGTGCTTTTTCCTCAAGAGCACTCTCTGTGGGCTCTTATAACAAATATGGGACCTATTCTTCCCCTAATTCCTCAGTAGCCCCCCTCATAGTCAGTATTCTCTAGTATTCGCCTGTATCCCATCAACATACCCAAGTGTCAGTCATATCCCTCGAATCACCTGTATCCCAATATAACCTGGTATTTCTTCAGTATCGCCCAGTGTTACCCAGTATACCCCAATAAAGCCCAGTAACCCCTAGTTCAACCCAGTATCAACCAGTATTGCCAATTTAACCTAGTATCTTGTTGTATCTCATGTTCATAGACAAACAGGATCAGGCTGTGTGTCACAGTTGATTACATGCCATCATGGTTTTGCTCATTGTACATGCTTTCAACCTAGTCTAGACTCCAGAAACTTATTGAGACAGTATCCGATATTAACTCAAACACTGACTTTAATTCCTTTCCTCAATGCTGCCCTCTTGTTCCTTTGTTTAATATACCAGTCAAAAGAAGTTAAGAACACCTTGTGCTTTCATATCACTATAACCTGTGAAGACTTGGTCTTCAGAAACCGTTGCTTGTTGTAAGAGGCTGACTAACAGGATCCGGGTGGTCAGACTGCTGACTTGGTTGACACTTGGTTGAGCTCATGCTGTTGATCACTGGATTGTCTAGCCCAGACTTGATTTTTTAAAGACTGCCACATATAGCTGGAATATTGCTGAGAAATAATCAATCAAATCACTATAATTATGCTACTGTAATGTTCTTGTAATTGTATAACATTTGAATTATATAGTATGACCAGAAATTATTGAGAATTTTAGGAATATGTTTAATTTGATTTCTAGTATAAACAACCTTGACCAGCTATCACGTGCTTGGTTTCATTCAAGAGAGACAACTCCGTTAATAATTTTTATTAGTTTGTGAAGAGTTATCCCCCTTTGTTTACTTTGCTAGCAGACATTTGCAGTGATCCTCAGTATGGATGATTTAGAGAAGAGGAAGTTGATTTTTAGAGTATTATAACAAGGACATCAGATCAGCTAAAGTGATTTCAAGTAGAACAGGCATCCCTTTGTCCACTGCTTATTTATGTTTTGAAAAATATTGCAAAATGGATATAGCATTGAGCATCAGGGAGGCGCAGGTAGGCCCAGAAAATTGACTGTCGGTGACAGGAGGCGGCTTGGTATTCTTGTTTCTAAAAACAAACGAAGGAGTTTAGAAAACTTAAGGCTTGATATGATTGATAGAGGAACCGTGGCTGTCTGTAAGGAGACAATTAGAACTGAGCTGCATGCAATGGGTTGGCAGAAAAGTCGAGGAATTCCATCACCGATCATGAAACCTGAACAAAAGGAGCGAAGGTTGAACTGGTGCTTACAGCATAGAAACTTTAACTGGGACAAAGGGTTTTCCTCAGATGAAAGTTCTGTGTTAGGGGCAATACCCTCTGTGTATTTGAAGGGAATATGAACAGTGAGCGGTACACAGATATTCTCGAGGGACATTTACTTCCATCTGCTCACGTGTTCTATGGGAATTTTTGGATTTTCCAGCAGGACAACGACCCAAAACATCGTTCAAAGCATTCACAGGCCTGGTTTCGGACCCAAAATATGACATTATTAGATTGGCCAAGCTATAGCCCTGACCTAAATCCAATAGAAAATGTTTGGGGACTTATGAAGGAAAGTGTCAATAAGAAAAATCTGAGAAATATTGCTGAAATGAAAGAAGAGGTGGTCCGATATTGGGACAGCATGGACCACGACTTTCTAACTTCTTTGATCAGTAGTATGCCCCCGCATTGAAGCCTGCATTGCTGCCCATGGTGACTTGACAAAATACTAACTGTTCACCTGTCTTTGAATCTGGAGTTATGTTCTGCTAATATTCACATTTAATATGTGAGTAATGAGTGAAAAAAATATAAAAAATTACAATCTTTAAATTCTCAATAATTTCTGGTTGTACTGTAACAACATATAATAATTGGGTTCTGTTGAGAAGTGTAAATGCTGCTTGATGTTACCACAGATGAACACTCTGTCCGACGTGGTACCGGCTCTCCTGGTGGCGGACAACGTCATCTTCTCCTCCAACAACTGGCGTGCCCAGGAGGAGCTCATGTCCACCCTGGCCTGTCTACCTAAAAGCTGCTCTAGTGATGCAATCAGTAATAAAGTCATTCCAGTCCTCTTCCAGAAACTCTTCACAGCGGTAAGTTGGATTATCTTGAAGCTGAATAATAGTGAGCCATTAAAAGAGGAAATATGGACTAGAGAGTAATAGACATGTGGACAAGAGAGTAATGGACATGTGGACAAGAGAGTAATGGACATGTGGACAAGAGAGTAATGGACATGTGGACAAGAGAGTAATGGACATGTGGACAAGAGAGTAATGGACATGTGGACAAGAGAGTAATGGACATGTGGACAAGAGAGTAATGGACATGTGGACAAGAGAGTAATGGACATATAGGTCCAGACAGTCATGGACATGTTGACTAGACATTCATGGACATATGGACTAGTCAGTTGTGGATATTTGGACTAGACAGTCATGGACTAGACAGTCATGGACATATGGACTAGACAGTCATGGACATATGGACTAGACAGTCATGGACATGTGGACTAGAGATTTATGGACATATGAACTAGACAGTTATGGACAGCTGTGGGGCTGGTTATGGGCAGATATATTGTATTGCAGTATACTGTAACTCAGGTACTCATATTGCAGTACATACTGCAATACATTGTCAGCTGAAGTGTTTGACAGTGAGTGACACTGATTGCACATGCAGTTCCTATTTTCAACATAAGGCCCCAAAAATACGTGTTATGGTTAAGATAGGGGCAATCTCAAAATTAGGTTGGATAGTCAGAGCTTCTACATACAATTGGGAAACATCAGTTGTGACAGAAAGATTTTAACTCAAACCATAGAGATTATCAGAAAACTTCATATAGGTATTTGCCCAGTATACCAGCTCACAAAACAATATTGTTATTCATATCGTTTGAAAAATGCATAGCAGTATACCAGTATATCGGTTATACCATGCAGTTCTAGTGAGCTGTCTAAATCCACATGTTGATTACCCATGTGCCTGCACTGCCTTGGGAGTTTGTAATGGGCAGCCTATTGCCTTGTTACAGAGAGCAATTCCTGTGCGACACGCAGCTGCGCGGACGTTGCTGGTGCTGCTGCGATACCTGAAAAAACAGGAGCAGAGAGAAGAGCTCATAGCTCACATAATTGAAGGTGAGTCAGATACGGTGCAGTGAAATTAGGTTTAACATCATACTCAAGATTCTTTGAGCCCAATTTGTGGTAGTACGATATTTGTGAATCTATGATAATCTACATCATTGCAATAGGTTATAATGATATGAACATTTTGTGGATTGTGACCATGGAATTATGTAGGGGTGTAGTGTTGGGGCCTGACTAATGCTGTTTTATACTGCTTTCCCTTTGAGATGCCTTGTAGCAGTAACCTCAATCAGACAGAGTCTTACCATTCCTTGTTTTATCTTTTAATGCCAAATATATCACCTACCTTGCCATGATGACAAATACGTTTGATTACTTCAAACTTGCTGGTCACTGCATCAGTTATCACTTTTGATGACTGGATATGAAATGCTAAGAATTGTTTTTCCAATAAGTACCAAATCACTTTCCAGATTTCTGTCATGGGAGAAGCTGTCATCATCGAAGTCTATTCATTGACATTTGCCGCTTTGTGATGGAACTGTATTCAAAAGCATTCTTCAAGGAGCATTTCTTTGAAAATGTATTGGAACTGACGTCTGACCCAGTGGCCAACATCCGTTTGCGCCTGTGTACTGTGTTACCGTTGCTCAAGCAGCTGATCAAACTGCCATACGATCGCAACCTGCTGCAGCAGCTGGAGGCCAGTGTCAGGAGGATCCTCATCAATGAGAAGGACAGGGATGTTATCTCAGCCATTAAACAGGTAGGCAAGGTCTGGGTGTCATGAAGGGTGGGGGCTGGCAGTCATGGAAGGTGGGGTCTGACAGTCATGGAAGGTAGGGTCTGACAGTCATGGAGGGTGGAGTCTGGCAGTCATGGAGGGTGGGATCTGGCAGTCATGGAAGGTAGGGTCTTGAAGGGTTGTGTCTGGAGGGTGGGGTCTGGCAGTCATGAAGGGTGGGGTCTGGCAGTCATGGAGGGTGGGATCTGGCTACCATGGAGGGTGGGAGTCATGGGGTGGGGTCAGTCATGAAGGGTGGGATCTGGCAGTCATGGAAGGTAGGGTCTTGAAGGGTGGATGTGTCTGGAAGGTGGGGTCTTGCAGTCATGGAGGGTGGGATCTGGCAGTCATGGAGGGTGGGGTCTGACAGTCATGGAGGGAGGGTGGGATCTGGCAGGGTGGTCTTGAAGGGGTCTGCAGTCTGGAAAGGTGGGATCCTGGCAGTCATGGAGGTGGGGTCTGGCAGTCATGAAGGGTGGCAGTCGGGTCTGGCAGATATGGAGTGTGGGTGGGGTCTGGCAGTTGAAGGAGTGGGGTCTGGCAGCATGTGGATCTGGCAGCCCTGGAAGGTAGGGTCTAGCAGCCAAGAAGGTTGAAGGATATGGCTGCCATGAAGGGAGATCCATGGGATCTGGAGGGTAGGGTCATGGAAGGGTAGGCAGTCATGAAGGGTGGGAGCAGTCATGGAAGGGTAGGGTCTCAAGTGTGTCTGGAAGGTATTTTTCTCATGGAGGGTGGGTCAGGCAGCCGACGGAGGGTGAAGTCTAGCAGTGAAAATGGCAGCCATGGAGGACTTGGTTCCACCATGAAGGTGGGGAGTCCTGACTGGAAGGGCCCATCAAGGTGAAAATTGCTTCAAACAACTGCATTTGGGGTCTTGCAGTTGTTTCTCCTAGTCTAGTAACGGATAGTGTTGAAGTTGATGTTGTTTCAGGCAGTCGAGGGGAGTTGGACCCATATCCATGTTCAGATGGAGTCATTGAAGGTGTGGGTGACACCTTACTGTACATCAGCAGAGAGCAGTCAGTGGCAGTATAGTGTCTGGACAGATATATATCTCGGTAGATTAACAGGGGAGTTCACAAAGAATTATGAAAAAACTTTGAAGATGACATTGAAGACCAGTTCAAGGAGGATCATGAGAAGCAGCTGCTGGAGCAGGTGAGTGGCCAGGGGAGGGACCAGGGGAGGGACCAGGGCAGTGGGTGATGTAGACTATGTGATGTAAGCATTTTGTCATCCCATTGGGATTCAGCAGAATTATACCCCAAGCTTGTCCAAAATGGATTGGATGATTACAAGATGAAAAACTGCCTGATTGTGACATAGAACCCAGATGGTGTAGAAAATAGCTCATGCTCAAAGGAGATTCCAAGATGCAGGGATTCTGATTGCAGAAGATTCAGTGAACAACAGTGTGAGTGAGTTTAGTTTTACGCTGCACTCAGCAATATTCCAGCTATATGGTGGCGGTCTGTAAATAATCGAGTCTGGACCAGACAATCCAGTGTTCAACAGCATGAGCATCAATCTGCACAATTGGGAACTGATGACATGTGTCAACCAAGTCAGTGAGCCTGACCACCCAATCCCGTTTGTCGCCTCTTACGACAAGCATGGGTTACTGAAGATCAGACCGCCTCGCGTGGTGTAGTGGTTAGAGCGTCCGCCGAGAGCCGGAAGGTCGCGGGTTCGATCCCCCACCGCCGCGTCATACCAAAAGACGTTAAAATATGGTACTTGTTGGTACCTGCCTTGGCCTCGGCATTAATGGGTACAACAAGGACTGGTCGGCTCGAGTCAGTATAATGTGTCTGAGTGGGGTATTCATGCTTCACTGCGCATGGTATCTCAGTTAGGCTAGCACTATAAAAAGCACTATAAAACCAGCTGGGCTAGTACAAGCAGCCGCACACACACATACACACGCATGCACGCTTGTCATATGAGCTAAATATTCTCAAGCACGACGTTAAACCCAATTTCACCTCACCTCACTGAAGATCAATATTCTAACCCGGACCTTCACGGGTACAGTGAAGAACAGACAGCGTGATATAGTTAAACTATGGTGACTGCAAAATGCAAAGCTAGCGCAGTCTTTGTCCTGCTTTACAGGAAGAAAGAGAACGCAAGGAGGAAGAGGCCAAAGCAGCCAAGGGAGAAAAGCGCAATGCTGCCAAGCAAAAAGATAACGCTTCGAGTAAAATACCTGGTCCCAAAGGTAAAGGTGAGTTTGTTTGTGAGTGATGCTTGGCCTACAGGTTTTTCTCTGCTTCACTGTGACAGAATGTCATGTCTAGCTTATTCCTATTTGCTGCATCACATGTGGTGAGGATGTGGTCGCCATCATTGCATCGAGGACGCATGTTCCTCCCATCTATTCTGTAGAGGTGATGAATGTTTGTCTGTCAGGTTGAAATACCTCGCATGAGTTAAGTTCAGACAATAGGATCCTTTTTCTGAAGCCTTTTGATTGTGTATCAGCATTACAGTTTTGTAGATTGTTATTTTGGCTCCGTGTAGCATCCATATCATTGCCGAGATTTAGGGAAAGGTTCAGTTCTGATGCCATTGATGGTGTTCAGTGTGGTAAATGGTGGCCTGCATGCTAACTCAAGGCAAGCAACATTTCAACGAGCTTACAGATTCTGAAATGTCCCAGCCCAAGCAATTTTACAGTGCTTGTTCTGTGCACACCTCAAAAAGGTACTACTGTCTCTCTCTCAAAAATGTATTGAATATCTGTAAAGAATCTAGGTATTGCAACCAAAGAGATACCCCTGTCATAATATTTGATCCCTAATTTGGTGAAAACCCTTGCTCAATCAAAATTAAAAAGTAGAACTGTTGCATTATAAGCTTGTGAAACTTTTAACTGGCAAGGAACTTTTACGACAGGCCAATTTTATTAAAGAGACTATTGGATGCTCTAATGGAACATTTGTTTTGCACGTGACCCAGGTGGTAAAACAGCAAAAGATGTCAAAGAAATCAAACGAACACCAAGTACCTCATCCTCTTCCAATACTTCCATGAGTACAAGTAAAGGTGAGCTAGGTCCACGTCTGTATCTGAGTAGTCCAGGTAGGACCCTCCTCCCCCTCACAGCCACCCTGCCTCCCCCCTCCACAACTACTGGAGGAAGGTTTGATGGGGTACCAGCCATCTGAGTGTCAGTGTAATTAGCAGGGATGGCAATTTTCCGCTGATCCGCGTATTCGCGGATTTCCGCGGATTTTATTTCAAATTGTTCAGTTGTGAATCGTCTAACTCGATGACACAATATTAAGTTTTCCGCTGAAAATAGATTTTCCTGTTGCCATCCCTGAATTAGGGTGACCAAATATTCCTTGTGAAATAGTCTTGTGATATTATTCAAAATTTATTGTAATTGACATTTTTAGATCGTCTTGGGTCATAAACATAATCAACAAGTTTGAGTAGATTTTTTAATGTGTTTTAGAAACTGACTGATCCCATCAGACCTCTCTGTCTATCCTGTGATAGTTCTGTCACTAGTGTTGTCTTCACTTCTTCACACTCCTATTGTCCTTCCCTCACTCTGTAGCTCCTCTGTAGTTCTCTATGTGCTGAGTTGGAGAATGATTAAAGGATATCTTGTAGCCACCAAACTTACTACCTGGTTTCCTTAAGTTTCCCAGCCTCATTCAGCCAAAGTCCATGTCAATACTTTTCCAGACCCAAACCCCATTCTGTCACCTCATTCCATGAAAAGCCTTTCCTTCTTTCAACATCTCAGACAAAAGCCTGCCCTTCTTCCTACATCCCAGACAAAAGCCCTTCTTTCTTCCATTATCTCAGACAAAAGCCTACCCTTCTTCCCACATCTCAGACAAAAGCCCTTCTTTCTTCCAACATCTCAGACAAAAGCCCTTCAATCTTCCAATATCACAGACAAAAGCCTACCCTTCTTCCTACATCACAGACAAAAGCCCACCTTACTTTCCACATCCCAGGCAAAAGCCCATCATACTTCCTACATCCCGGACAAAGCCCACCTTCCTTTCATCATCACAGACAAAAGCTCACCTTTTTTTCCACATCCAAGACAAAAGCCCACCCTTCTGCCTTCACTTCAAACCAAAACACCACCCTGCCATTCCATTCTACAAAAGCCCACTCTTACTCCCATATCTTTTCCCCCCCCCCCCAACCATGTTTTACTATAACAAGTCATAAATCACCCCAACAGTGTTAAGATTATAGTCTACATCCACCCAAACACAGGCCCTCGTTGTCACTAACATGTTTGTCACCGTGTTGAAACTGTGTTAACACAACATTGATTCACCTGTCTCGGTAATTCCCAGACCGTCTGTGTGGATATTGACAATAACATTGCAGTGATTACTTAAACTTGCTGACTGGTTCAGTTTCATTACATCAGATAGGAACTGGTCATTTATTATGTGGGGAGGAAAGATATTAACAGAAGTTTGGCCAGTGTTTATATGGAATGGAAGGGGGCTTTGAAAAATTGCATATTTCTTATATGTCAGATTTCATAATTCTAAATGTGGACATAATCTGGTCACCTAATATGTTGGGGTGATGGAAATGAAAAAATATTTTTTTGTTTTCTTTTAACTTGTTATAGGGGAGGGTGTGTGTATATATTTAACAACAGGGCCACTCACAGCTCATCCTCAACTATAATAAGTTACCAGCTCCTTAACAGATTTACATTGACACATATAAAGTTCTTGATCATTACCAATCAGTCATACTATCTCTTATCGCCAGTATGACAACAAATAGTTATGAGAAAGTGAAAGTTGGATGCGTGTTGTTTCTGTCCCACAGTGCCAAGCACAGGCTTCCTATACCCGCCCCATTTGTATCCAGAAGGTAACTGCGCTCCCCGCCTTTCTCTGCCCGACCTCTAGTTCTCTGCAGACAATAGTAGACCAGTGCCGGTACTGGAGGTTGCCAGCTGTCCGTCTCTTCTTGTAGTCTCACTGCACACTCCGTACTACAGCATCATGCACCGCTTCGGGTTTTGCCTGTCAGAAATAACCTGCATTAAGATCCTTTGCCTGTTTAAATTGGGGCGGTGGGGTAGCCTAGTGGTTAAAGCGTTGGCTCGTCACCCCGAAGACCCAGGTTCGAATCCCCACATGGGTACAATGTGCGAAGCCCATTTCTGGTGTCCCCAGCCGTGATGTTGCTGGAATATTGCTAAAAGCGGCATAAAACCAACTCAGTCAGTCCTGTTTAAATTCCGTTTCCACATAATTCAGTTATGAAAGGAAATAAATATGCTACTCCAAAGAAGTTAAGGCGCACCTGATCCTTCAATATTTCTGTAAATCTGTCATGCAGGATATAGAGAGTGGGTGTTCATCATGAGACATAACTGTAGTCATATGAAAGAATTGAGTGTTCTTAACTTTTTTGAGTAGTATATGTAATGTAGGTAATCGTCAATGCATGGACATGACCTGAGAAGGTTTGGCAGCCTCCACGATGCCTTGAACGCTCAGTTGGTGCATTATTAATAGACATCCTATTTACTGTGCACATCTAGAAAACAAGGTGTAGTCGTTTCACAAATACCATATCGAATCTTGTGTTTGTTCTTGAATGCCAATTTCTTGTGTCCCCCGCCGTGATGTTCCTGGAATATTGCGAAAAGCGGCGTAAAACCAAACTCAGTCAGTCAGTCGTTCTTGAATGCTTTTAAAAACGATGACAAGATTAGGTAGTGGTCCACCTGCAATAGTTCACATGCTGCTTAGATGCATTGTTGCTATAAGAAGTGACAAAGTTGTGGTAGACACATCTGAATGCTTTGTGAATATGTTTGGTGGCCTCTATTTAAGTGCATTATGATATCCCCTTAGGATATACTGGACCCTGTATTACTTAGATACTTCATGTGTGATTACTACTGTGTAGTAAAAAGTCCTGTGTTGGATAAAAGACTTAATTCCTTAAGTTTTGAGACATACCCCCAAACCTCTAGAAAAGGTTGAACTATTAATACTCCAAAACACGCTGGTTTGAAGACAGCGGCAGAAAAAGCCTGTGTCTTGGTAAGACCAGGTGTATTTTATGACATTTCTAACAACATACAAATGGTCAATCCTTTAGCGTTACAATATACATTGCCTCTGGGGCTAAGAGTTTGCTGACCAAGTTAACTGATTTTTCTCTAGAGGTGACAGTGATCATGATCTTGTGGTAAAATTTAGATTGGTAAAAGAGGATCAGAGTGTTTGCCTTGATCAGGTTAGGTTAATTTCGTCAGATGGAACATATGCACGACCATTAAACCACACCACACCACACCACACCACAAAATTCATGGAATTAAGATTTTTATCCAACATAAAGTTTTTGAACTCTTCCCTAAAAAATGTTGCAAACATACCGAATAAGTACTAGCAAGTATTTATCGGACTCTTACCCAGTATTTGAAATTTTGCCAAGATGTTATGTGTCTTTGTAGTACAACTTTGTAGACAAGTGTCACACTGTACTGTATTACATGCCACTATAAACTACCCATGAGGCTAAGTCCAACATGGCCTCCAATGTAGAAAGGGAGGTAACTCCACACTGACAGCAACTCCTAATCCTATTGGTTGATTCAGTTAATTTTGCCTACTAACAATAATTTGCTTTTCATTCACAGCAAGTAGATACAGCATGATGTCTGTTTAAAGCATGTTAGCATCTGTGAGTTGTGATGAATGTAGAGGTAGTGTGTGGTAGTAGTGTGTTGTGGCAGTACTTGTAGCGGAGGTACAGCTCAGGGATGGTATAGAGAAGTAACACAGTCAGAGTGAACATTCTAACAGCATGTAAATTATGCTCATGTGCTTCACATTATTATGTATTGTTGTCCGTAGTGGTAAATGTATGTAAATCTTCAGTTGTCGGAAATGAGAACAAATATGCTTATTTTATGTTCCAAAAAGCTGTATATGTATTTGTGTCTCACACTAATGCTCTGAAGTTTACCGAACTTTTCTGTAGACTATTTAAGCGTATGTCCATAAAGTCAAGTTAATTCTTTGTAGAGTTTAGTCCCTCAAGCCTGATACTGTGATTAAGTAACATTAAGCCTAACTCATTCACAGATAATTCTGGTCTAAATGGTAACACCAATAAATATATTTTGTTGCAATTTGTCAATGTTAGAACATGTTACATGGTTTCCTACTTACTTCATTGTGAGCAGGTGAGCTCAGTATATAGCTGCAGCTCACTGTGGCTGGCCAGATCCATATGTGTGTGTTTTTAGAACTTGTCCAGGAGATGAGTAAGAATGACAGCATTGACCACATGGCCGTTCAAACCAACCTGTATAATTCTGTTTGTTGATTGTCTGTGTGTTGATTGTTTCAAGATGTCAAGGGTCGTGTCTCCACTGTGAGGAACTCACATCTGGTCAAATCTAAATCTACTACTTCCATTCCATCACTATCACAAATCCCTCGTCGAGGTAAGCTGAGGTCGCCTCTATTTGCATGCTTTGTCTGACAAGTATGACCAATCCACTCTTTTGGATTGTCTGCTGCATGACATGCTTGAAATGGCTGCTAATTATTGAACGGACCATTTAAGACAACAGACCAGGACTAACATGTCTCAGTGCATGATCTGCATGAAAGTATCCTCCGGTTGCCTGCTGCCTTCTGGCTGAACTCTGATGGCCTCAACAGGCCTTCTGGTAGAGCTGTGATGGTGTCCACAAGCGTCAGTTGGAGCTGTGATGGTGTCCACAAGCCCCTGGTGGAGCTGTGATCATCTCAGCAGGCGTTCTGGTGGAACTCTGATGATGCCCACAAGCCTTCTGGTAGAGCTCTGATGATGCCCACAAGCCTTCTGGTGGAACTCTGATAATGCCCACAAGCCTTCTGGTAGAGCTTTGTTAGTGTCCACAAGCCTCTGGTGGAGCTGTAATCTCCTCAACATGCCTTCTGGTGGAGCTGTGATGGTGTGCAAAAGCCTTCTGGTGGAGCTGTGATTGTTTGCAAAAGCCTTCTGGTGGAGCTGTGATTGGGTGCAAAAGCCTTCTGATGGAGCTGGATGGTGTCTAAATGCCTTCTAATGAAACTGGTTGATCTCTTCAAGCCTTCTGATGGAAGTCATTTACACATAAACAAGAATGTCATTGAATAAGGAAATGTGCTCAAACCAGATCTGATCATTGCTCTAAACAACACAGCATGCAAAACAGAGTAGCTTGTGATGCTTGTTGATGTATGCATTCAAGCTTCATGGATGTTTCTATCTAATTCTTTTGAGCTTGCCCTGAGAACTGTCTCTCTCTGAGCTACTTCCTTACCGGCTTTTGTTATGACTCTTTTTTTGTGTTTGTACATTAATGCTTGTGGGAAACAAATCTTTGCTGGAATCTTTCTGCATGTGTTTATGAGGTGAATGTGGAGTACATTGTTCCTTGCTGTTCCTCTCCAGGATGATTGTATGACATCTTCTGTGCTGATCTTGCTGTTGGTGGATTCCTTTCAGTGAATCTGATCTGCATGGGATGGGAAACTATTGTTGCATGCTTTGTGAATGGATAACTTTCATTGATGGTTATTGTTCTTGAAAAGATTTCCTGTAATTTCTCTGATGTCAAACATTCTGGAAAATATTAGAGCAATGTGATAAGAGTGAACTCTTTGAGTATTGTTGTAGATATATATGAAGTGGTATCCAGATGATAATTTTCGCTTGGTCATGTAGATTTGCAGCCGAGTCGCATTCCACTAAAGCCCAAAAATGATGGGCTCCCTGTCGGCAGCACCATGAATCGTGTGACCCCAAGCAGCAGCAGTGGCAACGTCAGCAGCAGCGGTGTCGGTGGTGTCAACAAGGGTGAGGAGTACATCTGCCACCAAGGCGAGGTCTCTGCATGATGAACATAAGTCAGACACCAAGGTGCATTATTGCCCGTGAAACATCGGTAGAAGTCTCAGCATGTCGTCATGCACACTAACAACACCATATCTACAGCCTTTGGGGTTGAGTCTGATTCTTATAAGGGAATCGAACAGGATCCATGAATTAAACTTGTTTCCTGTTGTCCAAGGGAACGCTTCTCGCATGATCTATGTAAATATCAGTGATAAACTGATTTTTAGAAAAATGATTAGAATATTACATGTGATTTCTATTATGCATGGAATTTCTTGATTTTCTCACAAACATAAATATCTAACCTAGCACTTTGTTGTTGCTAGATTCTAAACTGGGCGGGTCGCCCAAGAAGGAGTTAGTGTGTAAAATCCCGGTGTATTGCTCAGGGCAATCAGGTCAGTGATCACGTGGTTACCTGCTACGTGTAGTCATGTGTGGTCTGTGGCTCCGATTTTATTTACCATTGCTTGCTGTATGTTCTGTTGATTGCAACACCTTCAGTTACTACCCTTGCCTCTGTTTTTGTGTCTGATCATGTCATGTTTTTCTTGGAGCAGCGTCTATCAGCCATCCTCTTTGTGGCCTGGTTGTTTTTTCAGTATTCTTCAAATCTTCATGAGAATGTGTGTTTCCTGTTTCATTCTATTACCATTAGTGTTTGATATTGTGAAATCTTTGAAAGTTTTCAGTATGGACACTTGCAAACAGGCTTTCTTCTCTTTGCTCTTGCAACGCAAACCAGGTTTTGTGTTCCTCTCTGTAACCCAGGCTTGTCAAAGATTTACTAGTATGTTTTGCTGCAGTGAGGCCATATTTCATCTTTCCTCCTGTGTCTACTGTCTTGGAGGTGTGCCATGGTTCACTTAGACTGTTGTCTTCTCCCTGCCCTTCTCCTGCAGTTATTGTGTCCGCTGAACTCATTCTGTTGTTTTTCCAGTTTTTCAGTTTTGTGGTTCTGCATGGTCTTTGGAAGAATGTGACTGTCTTGATTCCTGACAAAGTTCCTGTAGGACCTGTGATGAAGATATATGCATACTCATATTTATGTTTCCTTGAATGTAGGCAGTCAGTGATGTACTGTATTCTCAAACAGTGTAGGCAGTCAGTGACATACTGTATTCTCAAACACTATAGGCAGTCAGTGATATACTGTATTCTCAAACAGTGTAGGCAGTCAGTGATATACTGTATTCTCAAACAGTGTAGGCAGTCAGTGATATACTGTATTCTCAAACACTATAGGCAGTCAGTGATATACTGTATTCTCAAACAGTGTAGGCAGTCAATGCTATACTATATTCTCAAACAGTGTAGGCAGTCAGTGATATACTATATTCTCGTATACTGTAGGCAGTGTCTCCAAACCTAACCTTCTAAACAAAAATGTTCTTCACACTGAACAAACTGAACTCAGCACACTGATCAGTCCTGTAGGCGAAGCTGGTGGGGTTGGGTCATGTGGGTTGGGGGTGCAGTGTGTTATGGGTAACTCCTTCTTGTTTCAGACAATTCATATGTCAATATGTTTATATCTGTGTCCACGTGCAGTAATGTGACACATACATAGTAAAGTACAATGTGGAGCCCCCATATCTCTCCCTGAAGCACCTTCCCATAAGAAGCCTTACGCTAGACTTTCCTCCTGTGCCAGTCCAGTGCTGCCATCTGTAACCCCAATAGCCTGCGCCCTACTGCTTCTCGTTGGTTTTGCTCAGAAATATTATCTTAGTATTTTTGCTAGATTTATTTTCATATTTTACCCTAGATGTGAACAGTGGCCTCTTTTCGGTGTGTATTCATTACACTTTTAGAAACACTGGAAAATATTTTTCATCCTCTGAATGTTAACTTGCATTTTTTCAATATTTGAGATTTATGATAAAATGAAAAAGTAAATGATTCACGTTTTAACTAAAACTGATAAGATTTACTTACTGGACAAGTTTTATTTTCAGTTGAATGTTTGAGAATAGGTATGCTGTGTAGTAAGTCATGTTATGTCTTGATGATGTTTCAGCTACTGGCGGCGGAAGCAGCAGCACCAAGACGACGAAGCCTGCAGCAACAGCAGTTAGATCTGGGAACCTCGCAGCTCCAAGCAGTGCAGGCATCAGGTTAGTCAAGCATCTGTTTAGTGAGGCTTTATGTTTCAGGGTCTCACTTTTTGGTTGTGGCATCTATCCCATAGGGTACAAGTACAAGCATGAATTTTATGACAGAGCTGATGTTTCCTTGTTGCAGGAAGAGTTCCGTGGGGAGTCTGCCAGTGTCTGGTGTGACAGCCAGGAGAGGATCACTGAATAGCGCCAGCAGCACCGCTAGTGGTCAGTAACAAGCCACGTTTTATGGCCCTCTCTTAGTCCTGTGTAGACAGTGTTCTGGCCTCTGCCACCCCTTCGCAGACAGTGTTCTGACCTTTACAGTGTTCTGGTCCTCTCTCAGCTTCTTCCAGACGTGTTCTTGCCATCTGAGCCCCTTGCGGACAGTGTTTTAGTCCTCTTTCAGCCCAGTAGAGACAGTGTTATGGCCCTCTCTCAATCCAGGATACACATCTGTCAGCCCCATACAGTGTTCTGGCCATCTCTCAGCTGACAGTGTTACAGCCCTATCTCAACCCAATATAGACATCTCTATGCACCCATTGACCATTTCTCACCCTGAGAAGATCGTGTTCTTGCCCTTTATTTGCCCATAATTAACAGTAATGATGAATCTGAGTAAAAATCAGCTTGGAAACAACGTCAAAAGTATTCAGTTTATAACAAAATTCATCTTGTCTCATGGGAAATTTGACATTAATGCAGATCATCCACTTGTGTATTTATCTGTTTCAGACTCTAAACTCACTGTGAAACCTCGCACAGGTTCAGGAACCAACGGTCTTGCAGCAGGCAGCAAGAAAACTTCCAAATGACCATGTCCGTGGACCTGTGCTTGTACATATACCGCCTGGAAAAGTGTGTGATGTGTGGCACTGATGCATCTGTGTGCTGGCTGCTGTGTGTCTGCACGGAGCGTGATGCAGCACTGTGGCAGTCCCAATTCCGTCCACTAACCACAGAGCATCAGCAGATCATGTGGCTTTGGGTTGGGCCCCCTAAGCAAACACCACCTTTCCGTGCTGTCTTTTGTCTGTGTAACTGTCCTTGTATCAAGTGCTGTTGAGAGTGGTGGTGGCGATGGTTAGGTGATATCGGAACATTCCAACCAGTAAACATAGGTAGTATCGTGGACTTGTTCGCCCTCCTGTTTCAAGACAACAAGGGGAGTTGTGATGTCGAGCCGGGCTTCCGTTTGTAGCTGTAGCTGTAGGTGGGACTTGTGCATCATTGTTGGAATACTCACTGACATGTACTTCCTGTCAACAGGTGGCACTGTAAGGCCAGCATACCACTGTCTAATGTACGTGTACATACGGCAATACAATAATAACCCTGTACAGCAATGTCACTGTGTGCAAGGGGAGATAACTCCATGTGACTTGGGGGAGATAACTCCATGTGACTTGGGGGAGATAACTCCATATGACTTGGGAGATAACTCCATGTGACTTCAGGTAGATAACTCCATGTGACTTGGGGAGATAACTCCAAGTGACTTCAGGGAGCTGCTGATACTGCATTTGAGGCATGTGAGATATCCCTTCACAGGTCTCATCAACTGACTGATTGACTATCGACCCTGCTGCTATAACTGGAGGAATGTGAAATATTATCCTAATGTAGCCCTGATCAGCTGACTGATGGAATCTGCTGCTGCTGCTGGTATCGACTGTGATAGTAGAGGAATAGTTCTCCTGATTTGATCAATACTAACATTATGCACTATGTTCTGTTAGTAATGAGTGTTACGACTGTATCATGTCTGTATGTATATCATCCATATCAGCAAGTCGGTGTTTAACCTGTTCATCATGCACAATTCTGTGACAATATTCCATCAACTCTCTCAGTCCCCACTATATATTACCAAATTTCAACATTCATTTGTGTTCAAAAGATTCTTTATTATCTTCAGTTTATACTGATCAGCAAACTGAATTGTGAGTGATTTGTTTTGTATATTGTTTGAAGATCAGAAGGAACGCAGTATATATCCACCGATGGTTAATAAATATATATACACCAAGTTATATCACACGTTCATCAGGCACCTGTGGATAAATGCACACATGTTGCTGTGTTTTCAGGTTTTGAGATTACTTTTATATGTGAAGTCCTCACAGTCCAGATGTCATTGCATTTGAAGTCCATATCTAATTGACTAGAGGATTCCAGTTGCTGATACAATCAAGTATACTACTCACAAAAGTTAAGGATCACCCGATTCTTTCACTACTTTTTTACCACAGTATTATTAAAGAATGAAACTATGGGTTCACATTACTATGTTGTATGATCCACAGGGAGTTGAGATTCATAGTACAATGTGCCGTTCGAGATTGACATCCAATAATCGAGGGAAAAACAACTTGTGATGCGCCTTAGAGTGACCTACAAGTAGTTCAAATAGGGCGCTATAGACATGTGGCATGTGATATAATAATAGTAATAATATAATGATAATAATAATTAATCCATCATTAACTGTTTAATATAAAAGAATCGACTGACCCTTTACTTCTTTTGAGTAGTGCATAACCTTTTCAACCTGAACTGTCCTGAGCTGACATGAATGATCTGAACGCTGATGTTAGATTGTAAACTTACTGTGCTTTCAATTTACTGGTTTCAAATTTGATGATATTTGTAAAATGTCCTTCGAAATTTGTTGGCAGGATTTTCAAATTTTTCAAAAGCAACTATTTATTTGTATTAGAATTTGTCTCAACTGTCTTATAAAAGCAGCTAGTTTATCTGCATTCTACCATGACAGAAAAATCAACTGGTGACAAAGGGTTACATAACAGCATTCCGGCATCTGTGATAATCACATTAAGTCCAAGGCTTTGATACATGTCAAACAGCTTTTAAGGTCATTACAAGCATATCATTTACACACATGAGTAAACTTGTCAACTCTGAAGGAGTTTGGAACATCCTCACACTATTCACTTCTAAAGATATTGCTAATATGACATCGTAGCGTCACTATCCCCGTGTGAAATGTCATGATAGAAATGTCATGTTACAAGATATGATAGATTTGCCCTATGCCAACTCCCTTGGCTTCACAAACTTTAACAAGACAGTGATTGTTGTTTTTTTTACAAAAGATAGTTTTATTCATTTATGAATCTAGGAATCACAATAATGTTTTGTTACAAAGGAAAGTAAAAACCATGTTTCAGATGACGTCTGGTCGTGTCTGAAAGAAGTGCTTTCATATAAATACTTAATTTGGTGGTTACGTTTGTTTCATTATTGTTAATGGACCAATCAAAATGCAGGATTGTTACTTGTCATGGTAGAATGTCCATATGGCCCTGGTTGACCTGCATGTCTTGCAGGGCGGACATCCGATTTGGACATATCTTTGATACATGAATCTTTTGACCAGTATAGATCAATATCACGGTCTGTTGAAATACCATACTATTCTCCTCCGGTTCAAGGTCACCAGGTCAAGGTCAAATATGCATAATTTCTCCAGAATCAAGATATGTTGAAAGGGCAAGTTAACACAGGAAAGATCTTGACACCAGAATTAAGTAACTTTATTCATGGAGAGTGGGACATGGATAGCTCAGTCATCCAGACTAACACTACTTGCTGTGCAGAGGAGCCAGAGACAAAGAGCGCAGATTTTAATTCCATGTTTGCTCCTATTTTGTGTCCAGGTTTGACAGCACCTTACCTCTCCTCACAGCTTTCACTGAAGTGACAAAGTGTCACCTGCATCATTTCAGGCTTTCATTAACCTAAACTTAACGGTTGAAAAACTACTTATTGTAACAATGTGTTTATATGAACTAGGACAAATTCCTGTGTACAAAATACTTCTTACAAATTGGACTGTCAGTTTGATGTGGATTCTAACACACCTGTTAATAAAAAGGTAGACTATTTAACATCTTTTTGAAGGAAATGACTCGTATGTGTCAAATTTCAGTCATTTCGTGAAATAACTAAAAGGGTCAGCCATTCAGCTATCCCAACTGCTCGTTCTCTTTCTTCCTGGGTTAACCTTGGCATTCTCTCTGTGTGACTTGATGTGCAGTGATATTTCAGTGTTGGACAGGCCATTTATACTGATTTTTCGCACGATCTTTCCTGGGGCCACAAATGCGTTTTGGCGATTTGTTTTGTGCATCACGAACATTGGCAATTGTTATTAAGCACATTTACATCAAATTTGATGGAAACATCCAAACCTATTTATATAGCCATTAGCGATGGCTGATCCTCTTAGTCATTTCATGAAATGACTGAAATTTTTAGTTATTTCACGAAATGACTGATTTCACAATCTGACTTAACATATACACTTGTTGTCATTTGTGTGAAGAATTTGTAATGTAAGGACAAGACATATTCAATTATTTTTTTCCTAGCAAATTGGATCATATTTGCTTTGATGTGGCAGCTTACATGTCTGAAATTTGTAGCAATCGTAATTGCCAAAATAATGTCCTTCTTTACAGTTAAATTGTGAAAAGAAAGTCCTTTTAACAACAATATACTCTTGTTTTGGTTAAGTCTTTTTGTGCAAGCTTACCCTTTGGGCATTGATGACTTATTTGGTTTTCTATATGTAACTGTCATTCCACCGGTTAGGAGTGCACAAGATGTTCTGTGCGGAGTTCAATGGAAGGGAGATCACTCTGAATGTGATTGCCAGTCAAGGGACTTAGGAACTAGTGCATAAGACAGATAATTCCCCCTGTTTGTTATTTCTGCAGCATGAGCAGCCCTGCCTTGTTTCTTGACATTGGCTGTGTGTGTATTTGTTTTTTTGTGTACTGTTATGTTTGAAATCCAAGCTTAATTATTTATTGTGCATTACATCACAGTCACAATGTGTTGATATTCAGCTGTTCTGTCTGTGGTACATAGTATTTATGGTTTTATTCAAAGTTTTATATATATGAAAATAAGTTATCAAATGGCAAGTTGTTACATAAGATAAAGCCAGTTTGCTCAGGTATTCAGTACTGGTAGGAGAATGTTTGATACCATGACTCCTCATTAACCAATATTGTTTGACACAGGTAGCTCTCATCAATACTGTTAGACAGGACCCATAAAGATCTGGGTTAGAATTTGTCTTCAGCAACCCATGCTTGTCGTAAGATGCCCCAACGGGATCGGGTGGTCAGGCTCGCTGACTTGGTTGACAAATGTCATCGCATGCCAATTGCATAGATCGATGCTCATGCTGTTGATCACTGGATTGGTCAAGACTTGATTATTTACAGACTGCCATCATATAGCTGGAATATTGCTGAGTGCGGTTAAACAACAAATCAACCAGCCTTTGGAAAGTGATAGCTCTTGTCAGTTTTGTTAGAGGCTGACAGTTTTTAATATTGTTTGACAGTGGGGTCTTCTTCAGTATTGACAATGATATCTTTTATCAGTATTGTTTGATGCTGCAGTTTGGAACATTGACAATCATAGCCCTCCTCAACAAATCATTACATCATTTAGCTGAACTGGATTGGGTCACAGAGGGGGCAGTGGGGTAGTATAGTGGTTAAAGCATTCCCTCGTCATGCCAGACCCATTTTCGATTTCCCAAATGGGTACAATGTGTGAAGACCATTTCGGTTGTACACTGCCATGATATTGCTGGAATAATACTTAAAGCAGCGTAAAACCATATTCACTCACTCAGGTCACTAAATTTTGGGTCTTAGTGTATTTTTAATGGTATAATCATTATGGTATTACTACAGTTATAAGTGCAACAACCTTATATGTTACAAGTTAATGTGTCAATAGGTCAGCGATCCTGAGAATGCAGAATATGGGAGAGAGATACACGGAAGAATAACGGTTGAAGCATTTGGGAAGCTGACGTTTCTCTTTTTGAGTTGGACATGTTATGGGCTCAATAAAATTCAGGTCACGATAACTTTATGACAATAGAAACATTTTGCAATAATCTTACCAGAGGTTTATTAATAGTGCATCAACAATTACCTTTGGTGTTTTTTGGACAGGGAAAAATTTGGTCACTTTTGCTGATATCCTCATGAAAGGAAACGTTAAAGCAATGCAGTTGGATGACGTAACAGCAACTGCATATTCAGTAAAAGAAAAGAAAATTTATATTGTACACTCATTGCATAATAAACAAGTAACAATTTTTTCTCATTCAAAATATTTCAAAATGTTGGCAGTGCTTTCTGAACTGAATTGAGAGATTGGATTTTCAACAAATGAAATTCAAATGTTACAGTAGATACACCAGTCCTGTGTATATGGTAGCATAAGAATACACAGTTTGGGCTTATTGGAGGCAGCATGGTTGTCGAAGGATGTTTTGAATGTATTTCAAATAGATGTCAATTTCATATGAAAGTTAGTTAGCATTAACACTAGCCTGCCACATCAATCATGTCCAACCACATGTTGATTTCACTTTTACCAGTACTGCCTCATCATTTGTATCATGAATATGGAAGGGAGATGTTGATTGTCAAATCTAACTATTCAAATGAGTTCAAACTTTATTCGCTTTTTTTTTTCAGAAATAGTTATATTAGATATTTATTTTTGTATGACTTAGGTACAGATCCAAATTATCTGGAACCAAATTCATGCATGTTAGGGATTACCAAAGAAAGGGTCCTAATCTTCAGATGATTCGTATGGTGAGAATATTTATATGTGCACACACCTCTACATTGTACTAAATGTAACCTAACTGTAGTGATTGATTCTGAGTGTGGTGTGGTCACTTGAGATATCCCTTGAATACACCAGTTACAATGTGTATGATGTGTCTGGTCTGAATGTTGTTTTTCACAGAGATCAACTTTTACCATTTTCTCATATGTGTTTGTTACAGGGACTTCTAAGAAATCATGTTTGTCAGAAAATCTTGTTCCTACTATTTACTGAATATATCCTTCATGTACAAGCAATGTAGATATTTGCCATGTCAACTAAGTATTATATCATGCCTTGACTGGTCGATAATGGGAGTCAGGCCATTTTATTCAGTCTGGTTGATAA